TAATACATAGCAGCACACTAATATCTGAGCTTACTCAAATCTTTAATCTCAAACTCAGTGCCCAATTACTATTTGAGATTACTACTTATAGGGAATTTAGTTCTTGAATGCTCTCACAATGGAAGATCATTGTAGCTGGCCTTGCTACCCAACACTCTACTTCATACAACATACTTAATAGAATTTTAGGGATCACTTATAAGGACTACCCAATACTCTACTTTATACAACATAGCTGGCCTTAGAATTTTCCTTTTAATGTAAGTGGTATCTGCCTATCACATTTTCCCATCTTGCTCTAATTCTTTTGGTGACATTTTCCTCAATATCAAGAGGAATTTCCAATCAGGATCTATATTCATGAGAGTTTGGCAAAAGTTTTAGTGTCAACTGCCAACCTGATGCAACCCCCCTTTATTTGGGCTTGGGACCAGCAATGTAAGACAAGCTCACATTGGCAGAGTTACTTTCTGATGATAGGTCTAACTGGAATATTAAAAGGATTGGAAATATCTCCTCCATTTGTTGATTATAAAGCTTGATAAAACTGGAAATCCCTCCTATAGGGACTAGAATTTTAGGGACCACTTATAGGGACTACCCAACACTCTACTTCATATAACATAGCTGGCCTATATAGAATTTTCCTTTTAATCTAAGTGGTATCTGCCTATCGCATAAAGGTCACATAAAGGTCCCTCCAATTTTTGAACCAAGGCCAAATGATGTAGAAGCTAAAGAGTCAAAAGTGGAATTTTTTGAAAATTTATGTATTTTTGTATTGTTGGGAACAAGGGATATTTTTGAAATTTTATGTATTTTTGTATTTTTGAACATCATCATTGGTGGCTGATGATTCTATCTTTGAAGTGCTTCCCAGGCTAGTGAATGACTTAGATAATGGCTTTCTTATGAAGGTCCCTACTTTGACTGAGGTTAGAGGAATTGTATTTGGCATAAACAGGGATTGTGCACCAGGTTCACACCGGTTTACTGGTCATTTGTTCACCACTTGTTGGGGAAATGTGTTTAACGCTGTTGCTTACATATTTAATGGTGGAAGCATGCTGAGAAGTTTTACTTTATTGTTTTGTTGATCTTATTCCTAAGACAGACCAATTGAAGAACCTTTGCTGATTTTAGACCCATTAGTGTGGGCAATTTCATCTACAAAATTGTTGCAAAGTTGACGACGGTAAGGCTTAGTACTATTTTGCCTAAATTGATTTCTGAAGAGTAGGGAGCTGTTGTTCAGGGTAGGAATATTTTAGATAATATTGCCATTGTTCAAGAATTGGTTCAGGAGATTGACAGAATTTTGGGTGGTACTATTATCCTTAAATTAGACATGGCTAGGCATACAATAGGATGGATTGGAGCTTTACTCTTAAGGTGTCGCAATGTTTTAGTTTTTCTTGAGTATGGATTAATCTTGTTAAGAAGACTGGTTAATTGCTCATTCTCTGTGTTTTGGTGAATGGTTCTCTTCAAGTTTTTATAAATCCTCTAGAGGCTTGAGACAAGGGAGAGCCATTTTTTCCTTACATTTTTATTTTCACCAAGGAGGTACTGAGTAGGGGCCTTAAGAAGGTGTTTATGAATATAAAAGTAGATAGCTACCATGTGCCTTGTGGATGTCCTACTCTTTCTCATAATCCTTATGCAGATGACACCATTATCTTTTTGACAGGTAATAAAAAACCTTTAAAAAATTTTACAGATTTTTTGTCTCATTATTGAAAGGCCTTTGGGATGTTGGTAAATAAGAGCAAAAGTTGCTTTATTGTTTCTAATAAATTGTCTCCAAATAGAGTTTCCATTGTGGAGAGATGCACTGGTTGTACTCGGAAGAAACTCCATTTTGTTTATCTTGGTGTTCGCATTAATAAAGGATGATGTGGTGCTAGCCTATTTGAGGATATTGTCAACAAGATTAACAAAATAATTGCTAGATGGAAGGGTCGGCTTCTACCTCAGGGCGCTAAAATTGTTCTGATTAGAAATGTGCTCTCTAGTTTACCCATTCTTCTTATTTCTTCTATTGCAGCACCAGATAAAGTGCTTCATAGATTGGAGAGTGTTCATTCGGTTCTTATGGGCATCTAAGGATGCTGAGCTTAAACCCTTTCGAGGAAGGTGGTCTCAATATTAGAAGCCTTTCAGGTTGTTAGTTTGAGGTTTAGATTGAAAGCTCTTTGGAGTGTATTTGTGGGAAAAAACTTTATAGTCACAATTTTTAAAGCCCATTCTCTCAAAAACAGACACATCATGTTGGCACAGGAATTTTCCCATGGCTCTTACACTTGGAAAAAGAATTTCCAATATACAGATGTGGTGGTTCAATGTGGTTGATTGGTTCAGGTAATTTAAACTTTTGGCTAGATTGGTTGTTTGATATAGGTCCATTAATTTGATAAAAAAAAATTGATCAAAAAATATAGGTCCATTAATTGACCTTTCTATTAATGTTGATGAAGTTAACACCACACTTACGGTTAATGATTTAGTTTATAGTGATGGAAGATGGAACATGGCTACTGTTTGGAACAACCTTGATATTGGTGTAATTTGGTTTATGGATCAGAAATTGTTTACCTTAGAAAGTGATTGATCATCTGATTTGAAAGGGACAGTGATGAGAATTTTTCAATCACCTCTACCTGGAATAGTGTTTGCCAAAGAAGAGAAAATCCACCCATCTCTCAGTGGCTATGGAACTCTTCATCGCCACCAAAAATTTGTGTTTGTCTAGAAAGCTCTTCATAATAAAACCCCTACAGACGTAAATATTAAAAGCCTGGGAAACAGTCTTTGTTCTAAGTGTTKCTGCTGTGCCTCTCCTTCTGAAGAGTCCACTGATCATTTATTTGTTTCTGGGGTGTTTGAAAATAATATGTGGTCTTACTTTAGTCATGTTCTTCATTTGAATATTCATCTCAATGACTTCTTTCTCAATGGGTGGCTAGATGGTTCTATTTTTCTAATGATAGAATTATAAGAATAATCAATGAGGCCTTGCTGTTGGAACTCTTCCTATGAATATCATCTGGGAAATTTGGAGAGAAAGATATAGAAGGAAAATGGAGGGGTATCTCTAGGCTTGCTTCTTCCATCATTTATAAAAGTGTTACTTGGATGCAGGAGTTGGGTGTGGCTAGATTTAAAATGTGTCTTTCTAATATTGAGAAAAAAAAACAATTTGCAGCTTTGATTCTGGTTGCCTCTCAAGTCTCAACCTATGCTTCATTGTGTTACTTTGGTCCACTGGACTGGTTGGAAATTTGGATGAATTTGTATTACATGTTGATGGTTCTGCTGGTCAAAATAGAAGTAGAGGCAGGTGTATTGTTTGAGATTTTAGAAGTAACTCCATTGTGGCTGGTTCTTTTCATTATGGTGATTCTTATAATAATTCTGAGGCAAGAACATTGTATGATGGGCTGACTCTCACTAAGAGTACAGATGTAGTTAAGTTCCTTGCTTGTTTTGATTCTCTCTCCTTGGTTCAGAAGTTATGGTGTCTATTCGATGTTGGATTATTTCACATTTTCATGGAGGGTAATTACCAGGTGGATTGTTTAGAGCAAGGATGGGAAGTGATGAAGCATCTTCAGGAATTTATGATAGCATATATGATTTGCCTAGTGTGGTGTGGTCTGCAATTGTTCCAGATGGTTTGGGCACCTTTCCTACATGCATAGTTGTCAAGGCGACTAGGCGCCCTTGGAGGCTTGCCTGGCCTAATCACTAAGTAGTTTTGTACAGCGTGTTATAAAATACTTTTATATTCTTAATTTTTTGAGGTTTTAATTATAAAATAGACACTATTAAACTAAAATGTTCATTTTCTGTGTTTACATAAATTTCTTTTTATTATTTTCTTATTTGTTAGGGTTTAATCAACACAAACATTGCTAGATGCTGTATTGAACCCTCAAAGACATCAAAACCTGAACCAATAAGGAAGAACTTAAAATATTGTGTAATCAACATATTTTCTTCTGCCACATCTTCTTTGTCTTCTCATGAATATGTTGTTTTTCTACACTTTAACATGAAGCTTATACTTATGAAAATTATGGACAATTATTAAGGAAATATGATTATGGAACCTAGGAAACTGCCCTAGGATATATGTTTTTTACTTAAAAAAAAATTCTAACCTAGGTGACAAGGTGATAAGGCTCCCCCATGTTGCCTAGCCTCACCTTGGGGCCTTGAAAACTATGCCTACATGTTCAGTGATCTTCTTGTTTTAAGAAATCTCAGACCTTTATTTTGTTTGTTAATTATGAACTCATATTTCTCTTTTATGGATTTTATTTTGAGGGGTAAGGTATTTACCTCCCCCTTCTCCCTCCTCATCAGGTGTTTTTCCTCATTCTATTAAAATTTGCAATGGCTGCCCACTGCCCCTAAACCTTGAGTAAAGTTATACATTCATCATATATAGTAACAACTATATCATTTGACATAAACAATAAGAATGGTCATAAATTCACTTTTTTCCTTTTTCATAAACATTTGGTCTAATTGAAACTGGAGAAAAACAACCTCCTGCAAGAAGTTTCGAACCAATTAAACCAAACCAAGGATGATTTCTTCAACCCATACAAAAACTTCTTCAGGTGACACATTTTCCCTTTTAAAACTGCCATAAAACTGAGGCAACAAGATACATACTTCGTGCAGAGTAGGAAACACAATGCTATTTCAGCGAAATAAATGATTAATGGCATTTAAATGTTCAATAAATAAATTATAAAATGATTTGGCATACTTAATATGCAGACAAATCAAAACTTAGTTTATTTCATACTGTCTTGAATAGCATTGTATTTAAACTATCTGGTCATCATGAGCTTAAACATGTTATACTTTTCATATTTTGCTTTCTGCATTTTCTTCTTTTTTCAGATTTTGAAGCTTGTCAATTCTTATTCAAAACACTTGTCATGTGTTAGCTAACTTCCTTCTACACTAATTCGCTGTGGTAACAGCAAACTGTGGAGGCTTTACTGGAGTCGGGATACTCTCTCCTCAAAGAACAACAGTTAATAATGGAGACAAAACTCTCCAAGGAATATATGAAGAATATTGATGGATAGAAGGAACTGCCCTGAACCACCATCTTATCTATACCTTTTGTATGTATTAGTATGTATAATTGTTCTCCAAGCTTTTGTTATTGGTTGTGCTGATGCTTGTATTGAGGGAACATTTAATGAAAGGAGAGTAATATTTCACGTATAGGCATTTACTGGATTTTCCAAGTCAGTCTTTTCTTTTTAGAGGTGCTCTTTGGTTTTTCACAGGTCTTTAACACGGAGAAAATACCACCCWTAGGATGTAAGTGCATGATAAGTGCTCAGAAATGGTGATACGGAGTACAAACTTTACTATTCTCCACAGCCATTGCCTATGCACTAGTGGCATGCATGTTAGTGTGTTATGGTAAAATCTCATGCTGGCAAGTCTTTTCACACTTTGAACGTGCTAATTGGCTCAGTTGATTAAGGTTTTTGGCTGATTGCAGGGGAGACATAGGACTGATTCTTGCCTTCACCTAATCACACCTTGTCTGGGGGAATATAGCCAAGGTTCAAAGTATCAAACGGCAACGTATCAATGCATATTGTACTATATGTATCCATTTTTCCAGGTCACCAGAACATTAAATACATGGAAATTGAGGATTCTCATGGTTTTGATTGTTCAAAACCCTCCCAATGATGACATTCCTCAAGACCAGACCGAGAATAGTGCAAAAACAATTAGTATCTTCGGATCAAAATCGTTTAGATTACATAGAATTAACATATACTCGGCTTCCCAAATTCAGTTTTACCTATTTTTAAACCGTTTCTTAGAAAGAATTCATTTGTCTTCTCATGACTCATTTTGGTCAGTCCATGGATCACATTACCAAGTTAGGAAGCTTTTTCACTGTCTGAATAAGCATTGGGTCATTTTGAGAGCTTTTCTTTTCCTGTTATTTTAATCTTTAATCTTCTTATCCGCTTCCATAGTGAGTGTGTAACTCATACATTTTTTCTTGGCTTGTCTCTTGGTAATTCACTAATATTTGTTTACATTTAGTCAAATACATGATCAATTTCTCACTAAGTTTGTTTATAGCTAGCATAGTTAGTCATTTGATCATACTATCTTTGTTTGGTTATTGTTATTTCTTAGTATTTAGTTTTATTGTTAGAATTGTTGCTAATTCTTACTTTCGATTGCCTAGCTTAGAGTGTTACTTGTTTTATCTTAAGCCCAAAAATTACAAATATCATCCTTGGAACATTGGTCTAGTGAAAATTGGTTTAATTGGATGTGTGTGGGGTGTCTAACACCTTCATGCACCATACCTTGGTCCCCGAATCCTTCAACTCTCTATTCCCCATTGGGTTATGAGTCACCAATAAAAATCCATTTTTCTTGTAAATATCTCAAGCTTTCCTAAATTTCCAATTCTCAAAAATTTAGGTGGCAATTCTTTGCCCCTCTGGTTCAAGTAGCTACAATTCCTCTAGGGGCAAGGTTCAAAGTATTGGAAATGCAAAGTATATCGGAAAGGTAATTTTAAGAGATATATCGGGATATGTGTTGGATATACATAGATACGAACGAAAAAATATGATACACATGGATACACTTGAAAAAAAAATCTTAGAAAATATATTAATAACAATAAAAATCAGTTTTATGTGATTATAACTAATCTATTTAAACATAAAACCATACTTTAACGGTTTATATAAAGTATCGGGACATAATTGGTAACTATTTTCACATAGCCAATTCGAATTAGAGAAAGAAAGCCCTAGAAATCAGGGGTGAATTAGAATGAATGACCCTACCCCAAGAGCCAGAATATATAAATACAAAATGTGAATATTTACAAAAAAAAAGCCCTTATAGGACTAAAGAACAACAATAAAAATCAGTTTTATGTGATTATGACTAATTTATTTAAACATTAAACCATACTTTAATGGTTTATATAAAGTATCGGGACATAATTGGTAACTATTTTCACATAGCCAATTCAAATTAGAGAAAGAAAGCACTAGAAATCAGGGGTGAATTAGAATGAATGGCCCTACCCCAAGAGCCAGAATATATAAATATGAAATGTGAATATTTACAAAAAACGCCTTATAGGACTAAAGAAAAATATAATAAGAAAGAAAATAAGTGATATAATACAACAAGGACTATAGTAATATAATACATCATTGGGACTCTTGACACTCCCCCTCAAATTGATGTAAAGGCATTAGCATCTGTTTGCTCACAAGGAATAAATGTTTGGATCTCGTCATAGCCTTTGTGAAGATGTCAAGTTGCATATTGAAGGTGACATGAAGGAGAGAGATAGAGCTAGCAAGAAACAAGTCTCTGATAAAGTGGAAATCCACCACAATATGCTTCTTTCTTTCATAAAAGACAAGGTTACAAGCAATGCTTATGGCATTAGTATTACCTACATATAGAGGGATATATGTAGAAGAGTGACCTAGTTCCATAAATAGAGAATGAAGCCAAACAAGTTCACTGCATACAGATGACATTTCCCTGTACTTTGATTCCGTAGATGACTCAGAGATAGTTTGTTGTTTCTTGCACTTCCATGAGATAAGAGATTTACCTATGAAGACATAACCCAATAGTGGAACAATGGGTGTCAGACAATCTGCCCAATCAACATCAGCATAGTCCCTCAATTGGATAGAAGAGAATGAATATAAGAATAACCCCTGTGATAAGGTGCCCCAAACATAGTGAATAATCTAATGTACAATAGTCAAATGTGGTTGACGAGAAGCTTAGACGAACTGAATTATAACTTCAACCGCATGTGAGATGTCAGAGTGAGTCATAGTGAGATAGATAAGACACCCCACAAGTTGTTGATAGAGGGAGGCATTAGTTATGTAAAGAACCTTCTGAATTGGACAACTTAACATTCAGCTTCAAGTGAGTATCCACCTATTTACCATCAATAAGGCCGGCCAATTGGACTAGAGCAAAGGCATATTTGTGTTGGCAATTGAAATATTCCCAATAACTCCTCTGGACTTCCAAGTCCTAAAAAGTATGTAAGATGACCCAAATCCTTCCTGTGAAAGGAACTATGAAGAAGAGACTTGAGGTCTTGAATTTTCTCTATATCATCTTTGGTCAACATGTCATCCACATACAAGAGGAGAATTATAAAACCTTGGGGTCTTTTCCGAATAAAGAGAGTGTGATCAGAAGTACTTGGGCTATACTTAGCATTCACAACAACATCCTTGAATTTTTCAAACCGTGCCCGAGAAGCTTACTTCCCCATAGAGAGATTTCCTCAATCAATATACGAGGGAAGGATCACTTAGTACTCTTAAGGGGGTATCATATATACTATCTCCTTTAGATGCCCATGTAGAAAAGCATTTTTCACATCCAATTGAGAAATAGACCAAGGGTGTGTTGTAGAGAGGGATAAAAGAACACAAACTGTAGTGATATTGACTATGGGAGCAAATGCTTCCTCGTAATAATGTCATACTCATGTATAGAGCCTTGAGCCGCTGAGTTTTGTATCAATTTAGAGAGCCATTAGATTTCAACTTGATGGAGTAAACCCACTTACTCCCAATAATAGAGTCATCTAAAGGAAATAGGACGAGGTCCCAAGTGTTGTTCTTGTGCAAAGTTTAAACTTTTTCATCTATGGCATCTTTCCATTGAGGACTACTAATGGCTAATTGGTAAGAGCGGGAAATATCTTTGGAGGACAAAATAGTAGAAAAGGAGTATGGTCTAAAGGAAACCCATAGCGATTAGGTGGTTTAGAAATATGAGTAGAATGGTGCAAAAGAATAGAAGGAACAATAGAGGGATCTAATATATGAGTATTACTTACAAGGTTGTTTGAGACGGATTAAGGATTTAGACCAGGAGGATGAGGGGTAGTTGGCATAGACACTGGACCACAAACTCACTTGCGAGAGAAGACCAGAAGATCCTTCATAGCAGTTAAAGACAAAGCATCCTGTGAATCAAAGTCATGCAAAACAGAAATAGAAGGTGTAGATAACTTGAATACTCCCAAAAAGAAAGATATGTGCTCAAGAAAAACCACACTTCGGGAAACATGTATACGACGTTTAGAGGGATCATAACAAAGAAATCCCTTGTAGTTAGGATTTTATCCCACAAAGGCACACATAACATATTGAATTGAAAATTTAGAATGTTTACGAAAGAGATGTACAAAACATAGACATCCAAAAACATGAATATGGGAAAGATTTGGAGGGCAACCAAACATTTTCTAATGATGAGGCATGTTATCAAGAACCGATGAGGGAATATAATTAATTAGATACACAACCGTATTAGTAGCCTCTACCCAAAATGAGGAAGGCTTATGTGACTCTTACAAAAGATTCCTCACAACATTGAGAACATGGCCATTCTTCCATTCTACTACACCATTTTGTTGAGGATTGTCTAGACAAGTCCAATGAACTTGCACGCCGTGATGTTTAAATTAAACCAGAAATCCTCTGTCACTATATTTTCCCCCCTGAGTTAGAGAGTAAGACCCATACACTTGATTGAAACTGAACTCAAACCATAGCAAGAAATAATCGAAACATTGGAAAGACTTATGACTTGTGTTTGAGAAATTAGATCTAAGTGTACTTGATATAATCACCAACAAACAATATAAAATATTTATAACCCAATCGTAAAACAATAGATGAAGTCTATACATCACAATGTATAATTTCTAAAGGTGAAGTGGCATATTCAGCTTTGTGTGACCTGACCCCTTGAGACGATGACACGTGGACATGACTCAGCACGAGCAATAGCTCAACACCACAGCTTGATCGTGACTAAGTAACGAGCCTGCAGGACAGCACGCTACGTCATAGCCCACTATAGAGGGAGCTTGCCACCACGCAAACTCGAGGTCCCCCGAGCTACTGAAAGGGAATACTCCAAGACTATCTTAGCTCACGAGCTAGGGTAACCAGCTCGCTCCAACACTTGGGTAGAAAAACTGTCCCAAAGACAACCTTGAGAAGGGTCACCTCGAAGTACCCCTAGGAGCTCGCTACAAAGTAGCTCACGACAGGATAGCTCGCGACTAAGTGACGCGATGCTTTCAGGAAGCTTCTATCTGACAAGACCGTACCCGTCAGACTGCGATATGTCTCCTAATTGACGACGCAGTCCCTACCAATTCAACAAACTGCACCCACGTCTCTCGACAAATGGTGGCGTGTCTGTCCTCCTACGACGTGTCACTCATCCGATTGGGTAGCACCCTACAACGGTTACCTGCGCAGCCATCGCAGATAACAGTTGCGACAGAAGCCCAGTGGCGGTTACGCCCGGTTTGACAAGAACGCCTATATAAGAGCCCCTTAGTCGAAGGGGAGGGGACCGGATCTGATCGGATTTTTGGATCTTGAATCATCTTACTTAAGCTTGCTCTCGAGCTAATCTTGAGCACTCAGTGATCTAGTGTGACCTACACTCTTTGCCTCTTTACACTCTTTACTATTTTCCCCAGCGTTCTAACTTAAGCATCGGAGTATTCCCACCGGGCAAGTCCCCCAGGAATTCTTCACCGTCTTCCTCTCAGGTGCCGTTCGTTGCTAGTTAGGAGGCGGTCAGTAGCTAGCTAGGAGTGCCCGGATTGCGCGGCAGCGGCGCACATCAACACCAGACGTGATGGTTGCCAAAAAACCACAAGGTATTAGTCCAGTAAAAAAAAACAAACATATATTTTTACAAGGCGCTACGCGACCTAAAAAGCAACCTACCCAGACTCAAGCCAGCCTGCGCGAGCTTTTCCTCGGTCAAATAGTCTGAACAGAGAAGGCCTACTGCTGCCCAGGACTACAGCGTTTTTCGAATTTCAGGGTCCAACTCAACCCCTGAATCCTAGATGGCAGCCCTCCAAGTAGTTGGGAAGGGCCACCCCTCAGGGTTACGGACCACAAAATAATCCCACTTCCAGGTAGGGATCCTGTTCGGCA